ACTAAAATTCAAATTTGCAAGATTTAAAGTATCATATTACACCAGTCCCATGAGCCGGAAGGCTGGTCCCATCATCCTAAAATGTAGTCCCTTCAGACCTGTGGGACCAATATCCCGTAACTTGTGGGACTTGGTTTGTTTACATCCCAAATTTGCTTATATGAGCCGTCCCATAAACCCGAAATTCACATCTATTCGAGACTAAATAAATTTTCCATCGCAATTCTAAAAGTTAAAATACTTAAACTTTCAGGAAACAAGATTACACATTGTTGTGGTTTTATAATTATAAATTGTTCAGCGCCCCTTGCCGCGGCCCCGTAACAAATCTTCCGCCATTAATTTCCAAAAGTATTTAACCTATATAATAAAACAAGACATTGATATAAATATGTTGCCTATAGCCTGCCAAAAAGTGTGGACCGAATGGGCTGAATTTTTTTGTGGACATTCATGGGTAACTGAGGGGGGGGGGGGGTTTTGTGTGTTTAGGCTAAAAAAGAATATTTTAAAAATAATTTTTTTTCACGGGCAACGCCAGGCCCTTTATCTGGCGGTTTACAATTCTTAAAAACTTCAGGAAAAGTTCCGCAATACCTTTACGGGTCCAAATTGATCCTAAAACCATGCTACTGTATTTCTAGATGCTGGGCAGATAATATAAAACTTGTTTACAATGAAACCAGTAGAACCAGTTCTAATGTTAAAGGAGTTTACACAAGGTACAAAGTAATCAAATAACCATTCCCTGTCCCCCTTTCACTGTACACTCCAGTTAATTTCATTTACAAGGCTGTACTAGCTAGAGCAAGTTGTACAGTACAACCCATGATATTACTCCATGAACCATTATTATTTCAGGGTTCCTGGTTTCGGGGATACCAGTGGAGTAGAGTACTTAGATCCGTCCTGGTCTGCCTGGATACTAGCAGATGCAGGCAATTATATGAAGGTAATATCCTGGTCTGCCTGGATACTAGCAGACGCAGGCAATTATTTGAAGGTAATATCCTTTGCTGCCTGGATAGTAGCAGATGCAGGCAATTATTTGAAGGTAATATCCTGGTCTGCCAGGATACTAGCAGATGCAGGCAATTATATAAAAATAATATCCTGGTATACCTGGGTCCTGGATACTAGCAGATGCAGGCAATTATATGAGGGTAATATCCTGGTATACCTGGATACTAGGTGATGCTGGCAATTATATGAGGGTAATATCCTGGTATACCTGGATACTAGCAGATGCAGGCATACCTGGACACTAGCAGATGCAGGCAATTATATGAAGGTAATATCCTGGTATACCTGGATACTAGCAGATGCAGGCAATTATTTGAAGGTAATATCCTGGTATACCTGGATACTAGCGGATGCAGGCAATTATATGAAGGTACTATCCTGGTATACCTGGATACTAGCGGATGCAGGCAATTATATGAAGGTAATATCCTGGTATACCTGGATACTAGCAGATGCAGGCAATTATATGAAGGTAATATCCTGGTCTGCCTGGATACTAGCAGATGCAGGCAATTATTTGAAGGTAATATCCTGGTATACCTGGATACTAGGTGATGCTGGCAATTATATGAAGGTAATAACCTGGTATACCTGGATACTATCAGATGCAGGCAATAATATGAAGGTAATATCCTGGTATACCTGGATACTAGCAGATGCAGGCAATTATTTGAAGGTAATATCCTGGTATACCTGGATACTAGGTGATACTGGCAATTATATGAGGGTAATATCCTGGTATACCTGGATACTAGCAGATGCAGGCAATAATATGAAGGTAATATCATGGTATACCTGAATACTAGCAGATGCAGGCAATTATACGAAGGTAAGATCCTGGTAAACCTGGATACTACCAGACGCAAGCAATTTTATGAAGATAATATCCTGGTCTGCCTAGATACTAGCAGAGTCAGGCAATTATATTAGGGTAATATCCTGGTATACCTGGATGCTAGCAGACGCAGGCAATTATATGAAGGTAATAACCTGGTATACCTGGATACTAGCAGATGCAGGCAATTATATGAAGGTGATATCCTGGTCTGCCTGAATACTAGAAGATTCAGGCAATTATATTAGGGTAATATCATGGTATACCTGGATGCTAGCAGACGCAGGCAATTATATGAAGGTAATAACCTGGTCTGCCTGGATACTAGAAGATTCAGGCAATTATATTAGGGTAATATCATGGTATACCTGGATACTAGCAGATGTAGACAATTATGTCTAAAGGTAAATCCTGGTCTGCCTGGATACTAGGAGACGCAGGCAATTAAATAAAGGTGATATCCTGATATCATTAAAGCTTAAAATTTTCTGTTAAATCTTGTAACATGTACCTTTTATTCCAGGATATGGTTGAATACTTTGTATCCCAAGGATATGTAAGAGGAGAGAGTATCAGAGCTGCACCTTACGATTTCAGATTTGCTCCACACTCACAGGAAACTATTTTTTTTATTACACGTGTGAAGGGAAGGAAGAAGGAAAGAAAGAAAAAACACTAAAATAAAAGTAGAAAGAAGTAAAGAATGATTAAAGGAAAAAAAAAAAAAAAAAGAAAAAAAGAAACAAAGAAAAAAAACAAAGAAAAGAGAGAAAAAAGGAAGTATGGAAGGAAGGAAGGAAAGAAAAAAAGGGGGAAAAAGAAAGAGAGAAAATATAAAAGGTAGAACGAAAGAACGAAAGAACGAAAGAAAGAAAGAATAAGGAAGAAAGAAAGAAAGAAAGATTGAAGGAAGAGAAGGAAGGGAAAGAAGGGAAGGAAGAGAAGGAAGGGAATGAAGGGAAGGAAGGGAAAGAAGGGAAGGAAGGGAAAGAAGGGAAGGAAGGGAAAGAATGGATGGAAGGGAAAGATATTCCGGAAGGAAGAATAAAAAACTTGGATTGGATTAGGTTGAATACTTCAATGAGTTAAAGAATTTGATTGAGGATACAAGTAGAAGAAATAACAACAAACCCGTCTCTATAGTAAGGTACTTTTCATAAACCTCTTCTTATTTTAAATATTAAAATTATTATAACTCTTATTCACAATTATTCTCACTTTATGTCATTATGTCTTTTTATTCCCAATTCTCATATTCTTCTTGATACTCTTTGTTCTTTTTAATTTTGATTTTCTTATTGTTTATATTTTTTACTATTCTCCATATTAATAATACATCTAACATGTTTACAGTCATAGTATGGGTGGACTCTTTGGTCTGCATTTTCTACAAAGTCAGGTATAGAATATTATTATTTTCCTGTTATCTATCTTGTGTTTGTAATCTTTATTTCCCTGTAATCTATCCTGTATTTGTAATCTTTATTATTTTCCTGTAATCTGTCCTGTATTTGTATTCTACATTATTTCCCTGTAATCTATCCTGTGTTTGTAATCTACATTATTTTCCTGTAATCTATCCTGTATTTGTATTCTACATTCTTTTCCTGTAATCTATCCTGTATTTGTATTCTACATTCTTTTCTTGTAATCAATCCTGTGTTTGTAATTATACTACAGTGGTTGGTGTTTATATTAATACAACGAAGACGACTTTTATAATCAAGTTTTGATTTGGTTTGTATGCCTTCATGCTGTTTTGAAGCTTGGTAAAAATAAAAAATTTAAAAACACGAAAGTCTTCCTTATTGTATTGCTATATACGAGGAGAACTGTTTACTAATGTAATGTTCGTTAGTTTTGGAGCTACGCGGCAAACCTTAACTGAAACCTTAAATTTAGATAAGTTTATATCTTAAGGTATTTCCATATTTTCAAAAGTTCCCGGCTTAGTTCCCGTAATATTTTTCATCAATATCTATATTCTTAAGATTTATTTCTTCTTTTTATAATAATCTAATCTACATAACACATATTTTGTGTCTTTGTATAGCCATAAAGCTTGCTGTACATAAATTTAAATAAAAGATTTGAAAAATCTAGTTTGAGTATGATTAATGTTCTCACAGTATATTTGTACTACAGGATAAGGACTGGTTGGACAGATATATCTCCAGGTTCAAACCTTAAACCATCCTTCTTCTTCTCTTCTCTTCATTCCCCCACAAATAGAGTTAATGGTTTGGAAACAAATCTTGTTTTCTCCAATTACAGCAATTGTAAACCTGAACCCCGAATACTTTTAACGTCTAAAGAGTAGGCCTGGGTACTTTGCCGTTAACGGTTACAGTGGTTAATGTTGTATGGCTAATATATCCTGAATTAAAATATTAAATAATCTTTAATACCATCTAATGAAAGGTTAGAAGGTATTAACATCTAATAAAAAGTTGTTAATATTTGAAATCAGGTTATCTTATGCATATAAAATCAAAAGCTGTCACCTTTCACGGCAAATTACACAGGCCTACTAAAGAGCCTTTAAAGAGTCCAACAAAAATGCAATTTTTTTCTACATTATTATATCTTCTTGTCTCGCTTTAAAAATTTATTTTTGTTAGCTAGAAGGATAGTGTTATGTTTAAAGGTTTATACCGATGAATTGTCCTTGGATCGGAGCAACATTACAGCTTATTACATACGCCAGGTAGAATATATTATATGTATAGAGTGAGACGACAGATAAATCGTCTTTGTTTTCCGAAAGCTAATGAATGGACTGGAATGTTTTTTCTAGCATACTTGGTTCCTTTTAACATTGAACTTGTTTTATTCTTTGAAAATCATCTAGCATACGATTAAAACCCTATGCTTTAGGCAAACTTTATAGATAGTTAAATTGAAGAGATTTGGGTCGGCGTTAAACTTGTATCCTGTGTGGGTAACCATGCATTAAACAAAGTTTGTAGGATGTCGGTATCATCTGTATCTTTTAAAATTATCGTTTATAAATATTCGTGGCAAGAAAATAGAGAAAAGTTCTCCTCATATAAAGTATAGATTATCCTTTGTTTCGCGACCAAACCACTGGCCGTGAATATATCAATTTATCAGGATAACCCTAATAGTATCTCCCCAAGTCATAATTCAGCTCAGGTCGATTGGAACGTTCAATAGCCTCACAAATCCTTCGACTACTCTATCATCTCTTCGTCTCAGAATAAATCAGCGCTCTGGTACTGAACAAACGGTTCAATCTGAAAGATTGAAAAACGACGTAGGTATCTCTACAATGTATCAAGTGTAACTAACAAATTTGTAGGAATAAAATGCATTTGACTAAATCTAAAAACCGGCTTCTTATGAAGATGCAGTACGCAACTTATACAGTCTGACTCAGGGGCGCGGTAGAATTCCTTCAACATCAATAGGGGCACCTTGATCAGGACGAGACGATTTCGTCGCGTAACATCCTTTTAAACCTTTATCTTTTATCTGGACAATATAAAACTTTACACCCGGAGTCATTAAAGAATAAAAAAGATATTTAATGCAAAAAATACTATTTTTTGCAATTAACCTTAATTCTAATCATAGTGGTTACAACATGGACATAAGTGTAATCAGTCCCTTAGTTATCAGAGAGGAACAACGTAGTTATGAAACAGGTATATTCAATATTCATGTATTCACTTCGTCGGGCCCAAGGTTGTAATGCAAGGAAAGTTATTTCAGAGGTGTACGCATCTTTTGTACTGCAGTGTACTATCTCTGGGCGGTAATGTAAACAAAAGACGGATGTCGAAGCCTGACATGGGATCCATCTTTCACATAAATAATCAATGAAATATTCTGGTCATAGGAAACTATTATGTGAATTATTAAAATTATCAAAACGATCAGAATTTAATGCTTTTAACCCCCTCGGATACTAAACGAACAATGATGCATCTATCATTGTTTACAAATTCCGCCCAGAGAGAACTGGTTTCAATATGTACGCAGAGTATACGCAACCACAATAAACTTTCCTTGCATTACATTCTTGGTCGGGCCAAACTAGTTAGCATGTTTTCATCATGATCTAGGCTCCTAGACGCATAATAATTCTCAATAGTTGATGCACGATTTTTTGTTGTTTATCAGAGATAACTATTTAACTATAAGATAGTTTTGAATTGCAATTATAATCTTATTTAATAAGTTTTTTCAAACAAATTGGATTAAAGAATCTTAAATGATTTTAGACATTTAAATACTTACGTTAGCCCAATTTTAACGACGAAAACTTTAGAAATAATGCTTTAAGATCAAAAAGATTAATTGGACTGTATTAAAATATGTAAAAGAAACAAGAAATGGAAAAAAATGTTTGATTTAATTAAAAAAGCGTTGGTTGCAAAGTTTGTCGACAAGTGTTTTAGAATCTCACTGTATGTATTTTCTCAACCCACCAAGTAATTCTAAAAATGGAAAAGACAAGATCTAAATTATTTTAGGAGTTTATTTGCTCCCTAATCCTCATAAATGGGAGAACTTGGATCAAGTTCTAGTTCATACTCCACATAGGTAGATCATCTAGAATACAGGGAGTATAATACTCCACACATCATTTAGAATACAGGGAGTATAATACTCCACACATCATCTAGAATACAGGGAGTAAAATACTCCACACATAATTTAGAATACAGGGAGTATAATACTCCACATATCATCTAGAATACAGGGAGTAAAATACTCCACACATCATCTAGAATACAGGGAGTATAATACTCCACACATCATCTAGAATACAGGGAGTATAATACTCCACACAGCATCTAGAATACAGGGACTATAATACTCCACACATCATCTAGAATACAGGAAGTATAATACTCCCACCATGATCTAGAATGCAGGAAGTATAAATTCACACATCATCTAGAATATAGGAAGTATGATACTCAACACATCATCTAGAATGCAGGAAGTATAATACTCCACATTTCTTCTAGAATACAGGAAGTATAATACTCAAGACATCATCTAGAATACAGGGAGTATAATACTCCACACATCATCTAGAATGCAGGAAGTATAATACTCCACAGATCATCTAGAATACAGGGAGTATAATACTCCACATAGGTAGATCATCTAGAATACAAGGATTATAATGCTCCATGCAGATCATCAAGAAGGCTACAAGTATTATCTTAAATCCTGTAAATTTATCAAAGGTTTATTCAATTATCCTTTTATGTTTAATCATTTTAAAGTCATGCAAAAAAAAATAAAAGTTAAAATGAAAACCAAAGGGATACATTGTATTTTAATTAAAGAATAATCTAAAAGTCCGTTTACAATCCCTTTAAAGTTTTCATAATTAAATTTTTTCTCTGTGTGTACTTTCTTTGTTTTAATGAAAAACTAATTATTTCATTCCTAACAATTAACATGTTTAGGAACTATACCGTGAGGAAAGCATGAAACAAGAAAATAATTTAAATATCTAAACAAAGTTATAAAGAATTTTAAAAGTCCAGAACAGAAAAAATTATGTGTTACGACGGGGGCATAAATACAAAATAATTTTAATGCTATTAAAAGTAAATTTGGACAAAATATCATTTTCTTGAATTCTGAAAGTTTAGAAATTATCCGACATTCTTCAATGACATCGGTTACCCCCAGGTACTTTTAGTTCATTATGTGGTGTCATGTCTATTGTCTAACTCCTCAAATATAAACTCCTCAAATATAAACTCCTGAAATATAAACTCCTGAAATATAAACTCCTGAAATATAAACTCCTGAAATATAAACTCCTGAAATATAAACTCCTCAAATATAAACTCCTCAAATATAAACTCCTGAAATATAAACTCCTGAAATATAAACTCCTGAAATATAAACTCCTGAAAAACAAACTCCTGAAATACAAACTCCTGAAATACAAACTCTTGAAATACAAACTCCTGAAATACAAACTCCTGAAATACAAACTCATGAAATATAAACTCCTGAAATACAAACTCCTGAAATACAAACTCCTGAAATATAAACTCCTGAAATACAAACTTCTGAAATACAAACTCCTGAAATACAAAGACCTGAGATACAAACTTCTGAAATGCAAAATATCTAAAATATAAAATCTTGAAATATGAACTCTGGAATACAAAATCTTTAAATACAAAATACCTGAAATACAAACTCTTGAAATATGAACTTCTGAAATACAAAAACTTGAAATACAAACTCTTGAAAAACAAACTCCTGAAATACAAACTCCTGAATTACAAACTCCTTAATTACAAACTTCTGAAATTTAAAATGCGTAGGAGACAATCTCTGATAAAAATAAACTCCAGAAAGTACAAACTCCTGATAAGACAAAGTTCGGAATGATCAAACTTCAGAAAATATGAATATGAAAAATGAAAAGGGGCCGCGCACTGCAGAAATCCAGGAGTTTTTCTCTTTTTGTATTTCAGGAGTTTTTCTCTTTAAGAATTTGTAATTCCGCGGTTTGTATTTCAGAAGTTTGTATTTCAGTTTTACATCCTTTAGAAGTTTGTTGTGGCGCTCATTATTTGTTTTCAACATAAATAAAATTATAAAATCAAAATCTAGAGACGTTTTCCATCTATGAAGAGATCACCTCTAAAATATTCTATTTATGGTTTGTAGCTATATTTGTAAGGCAATATATTAAAGGAGCTTATTTCCCACGTTATCTCGGATAAACTCTTGCAAAAAGGTCCAAAAAGTCCAAAGGTTTTTAACTGTATTTGGGAATGAAATCGATTGTTGTCGATTTCATAGAAGTTTGCGAGTCAAAATTTTGTTAACTTGGATGGAAAGTCAATATGTCGATATTTCATGCGTTTTTAATCAAAATGCGAAATTTTTTTTCAAGTTTGATTTTAGTGAATTATGAAAATATTTTCTATTAAATTTCATATAAAAGTCAGCATTCGATGGATAATGAAAAAAAAATGTAAGCGATAATATAAATGTGTAAAATTTGAAGTTTTTTTTTTCAGGGTCAAGCAATGATGGACGATGTTGTAAATATTACAAGGTATAAGTTTCGATTCAAAACCTTAAACAGGAATATGTGGCAGGCCGGGAGGGGGTCGGGGAGTGGTCGGGGATGGGATAGGGTATGGGGTAGAGAGATGGGAGGGGTGTTCGCTTAAAACAATTTTGTTTAACTTTTATTTTTAAAGCTTTCTTTATCGCTTTATTTCTTCATTGTATAAAGTTTTCGAAACAATTTTTCCCAATGAATAGAGCGTTAACTTGGAAACTAGAATATAAACTAAAATTATTTTGCAGTATTTTTTATTTGTATTCAGTATTTTGTATTCTTAAATTGATGTGAGATTTGTTTCTGAACATTTCGCATGCAGTTTCATTCTTTTCGATTGGTATCTACTCTGTTGGAGTACTTCTCCAGTTTAATGTTAGGTTGGAGAATCCTGGAGTAAATACGACCTATATCTACTCCGTTGGAGTACTTCTCCAGTTTAATGTTAGGTTGGAGAATCCTGGAGTAAATACGACCTATATCTACTCCGTTGGAGTACTTCTCCAGTTTAATGTTAGGTTGGAGAATCCTGGAGTAAATACGACCTGTATCTACTCCGTTGGAGTACTTCTCCAGTTTAATGTTAGGTTGGAGAATCCTGGAGTAAATACGACCTATATCTACTCCGTTGGAGTACTTCTCCAGTTTAATGTTAGGTTGGAGAATCCTGGAGTAAATACGACCTGTATCTACTCCGTTGGAGTACTTCTCCAGTTTAATGTTAGGTTGGAGAATCCTGGAGTAAATACGACCTATATCTACTCCGTTGGAGTACTTCTCCAGTTTAATGTTAGGTTGGAGCATCCTGGAGTAAATACGACCTGTATCTACTCTGTTGGAGTACTTCTCGAGTTTAATGTTAATTGTTGGAGCATCCTGGAGTAAAAACAACCTGTATCTACTCTGTTGAAGTACTTCTCCAGTCTATTGTTAAGTTGGAGCATTCTGAAGTAAATGCGACCTGTATCTACTCTGCTGGAGTATCTACTCCTATATGATGTTAGGTTTGAGCATCCTGGAGTGAAGACGACCTGTATCTACTCTGCTGGAGTATCTACTCCTATAAAATGTTAGGTTGGAGCATCCTAGAATAAGGACGACCTATATCTACTCTGTTCGAGTATCTACTCCTGTATAATGTTAGGTTGGAGCATCTTGGAGTAAAGACGACCTGTATCTACTCTGCTGGAGTATCTACTCCTATAAAATGTTAGGTTGGAGCATCCTGGAGTAAAGACGACCTGTATCTACTCTGGTGGAGTACTTTTTCCTGTATAATGTTAGGTTGGATCATCCTGGATTAAGGACGACCTGTATCTACTCTGTTCGAGTATATACTCCTGTATAATGTTAGGTTGGAGCATCTTGGAGTAAAAACGACCTGTATCTACTATGTTGGAGTATCTACTCCTATATAATGTTAGGTTGGAGCATCCTGGAGTAAAGACGACCTGTATCTACTCTGTTGGAGTACCTACTCCTGTAGGATTGGAATACTCTGATGGATTTCCAGACACTCAGCCCACCAGGTTAGATCTCTTCCTCATAAAATCCTTACTGTCGGAAATCTTTGAAAATCCTTTTGTTTCAATATTTCGGAAAAAAGGTTAGGAAATTTAGGTTTAGGTTTTAAAAATATCAATTAAATTAAGTGGGAGAGCTTTTAGAATTATTACTGTTTTAAATACTTAGTTGTCAAAGCTTTTCTGAAGTCCAAAAGCTAAGTCTAGTCTTCTGTAAAACCTCAGATATGTAAACCATCCGTAAGTTAAGTGTAAAATATAGTTACGCTTGCATTAAGAAACCTAAATACAAACCTAATGCCAAATTACCTAAACTAGGAGAATCGAAGATGTAGATAGCTGCTTGATTTATAGAGATAACCCTAACATAATGTATCTCAGGATAAAGGGAGACGGAGATGGTTCTGTAACCGTTAACAGTCTTGCATACTGCTCCAGGTACAAAGAAAAAGACAGGGACGAGGGCATAGTTTTTATGTTTCAATATCATTGCTAATATGTCTGGGAAAGGAATTGGGGTTTCAATCCGATAAAGTAGACCTTTGTTATTTCAAATTATAAAATCTATTACAAAGGTTTACGCCATCAGGCTGTGAAGGTTCAGGAATTAGAACACTTGAGTTTGTGGCAAAAATGCAATTCCTTTAAAGCCATCCAGGTTCTTTGTCTTCAAATTTAATGATGATCACATTACAAGCCATTACTTATGAAAATATCTCCGTTTTTTAGTTTAAAGAAATATTTTGCCCAAATATCCTGTTTATCTCTTTAAGCTGGATATTCTGATGAAACCGTCCAGTTCTCAGCGTAGAATGGAAACTAACCCTAGTCTCAACCTAGGACGGAAATTGATTTAGAAAACCATTCTTGGAGATTTATTTAACTTAAAGGGATCTCTCTTAAAGTATTTAAAGGCGTTCAAGGGACTGCTCGTAAATCGTTGAGGAAACTATGAATATGTAGAGCTACTTAAAAACACGTAGACAATCCCTTTAAGGTTGAATCTCTGAATATCCTCTACTGCACAATAAAAACTAAAAGTCTGACACGATATTTCTTGAAAATTCGTAAAAGACAAGTCGTCTTCCTAAAATTTATTTTGATCATGACCCCAAATTTACGAGAATGGAATTTCCAAAAGAGGTGCCATTTTTATCACAGAAAATCTAAAATTTTGTACAAAGCGTACACATTATAGATATGGAAAGCTTACAACTTTTTTTGATACACCCTTAAATTTAAAACGTCGTTTAAGATGTTTTGTGGGTCACTCTGTATATTTAGTATTTTTCCAGGTTTCTAAATAATCCGGGGGACCGGAGTATGGTGTTCCGAGGGTTGGATCATGGACAAATTCTTAAAACTACAGAAGTTCTAGAATTTATAAAATCTCAACTTGTGATTTAAATTCCTGGAGAAAATATTTTAAAAGCATTTGAACCAATATATAAACCAAATAAATATTTCCATAAGGTAAAAGATTTAAACTTTAGAATCAACGCATCAGCGGAAAATGAAAATATATTTTCAATCTTACTCGTAACTCATTTACTTAAAGGGACTATACGTGTAACTTTAAGTGACCCACCATGGAAAAATTGCAATGCCCAATATACAACGCTACCCTTGGAACATTATCTGATATAAAGTGCGGTGGACAGCATCGTATTTATGAATCGAAAAGCGTCTATTTCAGAGGAATTTCTCCTTTTTTCTTTTAAAAAATAAATGCACTTAAGTCACTTTTGCAGAGAAACCACAAATGAAAATAAAAAAATTGCCATCTTTGCATGTTGGGACACACGAAATTAACTTACCGCACTCTTGACGTAGAATACCAAACTAGTTCAAAATTTTATTTTACCAACTAAAAGATAAACCCGAAACTACGCCGTAACCTGAACCCAAACCTGAACCTGAACCTGAACCTGAACCTGAACCGAAACTTCTCATTCTATAAAAGTATTACAATTTAGAAAAAAACGTGATTAAATGAGGCTTTAATATTCCCCATTTTAGGTTAAATTAATATGATAACAATACATTTACAAAATCACTTATTTATTACATTTACACTGGAGTATCTATATATATAAAGTTGCCACGGGAATGTTTCAGCTTGGTTTTGAGATTCTAAGTTTAGTGGTTCGACGGCGGGCGGGAGTAACTTTTAGTAATCTGGACAGCGCTGGGTTCCCAAGCATAATCTATATATATAAAGTAGTAATGGGTGTTTGTTTGTTTGTTTGTTGGTATGGCCGATCATAACTGATGAACCCCTTGACCGATTTGCCTCAAATTTTAATTGAGGAACTCGAAAGAACCACAGAAATGTTCTTGGCTTAATTTTAAGATTTTAAGTTGAGTGGGTCCAACGAGAAAAATGGCCAATATCGTAGTATATACAAAATAAGCGCTTTTGATCGCTACTAATCTCACTTCTATCTGTTGCGTTTATAAGGAGAAAATTGTTACAAATGTTTCATGCTGAAAAACATAGCGTCCATACAAATTCAGAAAGTTGTAACATTCAACTCAGATGAATAGTTGACTAACCTGAAGACAGTCCGGAGCTGAGGCGGAACAGAAAAGACCTAGAGAAAGGAACAGGACTAGCCCAAGCACATGGTCGACAGCAATCAGCAAAAGACTTGAAGCTTGAGCACTGGACTGCAGAAAAATAAACTATATACAAATGTGGCGAAAGATAATCGATGACTATAGGTTGTAATATCTAAATGATTTGTTTGAAATTAAATCGATTTTTTTACGGTCTAAGTCGTATGTTGCAATTTTCTCAATTTGTATGGACACTACGTTCTTCGGTATTAGTCGTTTTTAACAATTTTCTGAGTATCCACTGCACCCTGAGTATCCACTGTACCCTGAGTATCCACTGTACCCTGAGTATCTACCGTACCCTGAGTATCCACTGTACCCTGAGTATTCACCGTACCCTGAGTATCCACTGTACCCTGAGTATCCACTGTACCCTGTGTATCCACTAAATGACGTGGATGGATTTGCAGCTTTGTTGAAGCTGGAGAGATATTAAAGCAAACAAATGCATCTACGAATGTTGGTGAGAATTTTACTTACTTTTTCATCAGTAACAGTGGTTGTAATTTTAAGTGACCCAGACGACCCATACCCTTCTTTAAAAAAAGAGGGGAATGTCTGATTTAGAAAGGTTAAATCTGCATGCCACTTTAATGGAAAAATTCCAATTGAATATAATTCAATTTTTAAAAAGAGAAACCTGCATAGCTCATTAATTCATAATCAGACTAAAGTCGTACATGTTATTCTAGTAATGACAGGTCACTTTAAATTACGATAATACTCACTGTACCCTAAGTATCCCCTGTACCCTAAGTATCCCCTGTACCCTGAGTATCCCCTGTACCCTAAGTATCCCCTGTACCCTGAGTATTCATTAAAGTCTTGAGTATCTAGTTAAAATCTCTAATTTTCTAGATGACGTGGATGGATTTGCAGCTTTGTTGTTAGAATTCTTTTGATCGGAAAACAGCCGGAGCATGTCGTATCCGCTCCTGTTGCCCAATTTGAACTAGCAGAAGAACTTATTGAGGCTACTGGACACTCATTAAATTTTATCTCGACCGAATTGGCAGAAAATCTAGAAGCCGATCTTGTTAAAGAACTTCCAGAATTTGACCCAGAAATCTTCTCCATTGATAGGTTTTTCAGCATGAGTCGTTTTAAAAAATTTTCTCCTTATAGACGCAACAGATAGAAGTAAGATTAGTAGCGATCAAAAGCGCTAATTTTTCCCAGTTAGCCTATACCCCCTTTCATATTTCGCGAAAGTTCACTTTAAACTAATGGTTTACAAGTTACTGCATCGATGCATATTTTAAACAAAACAATAAAAACAATATGTTACAAATACTTTTTCATTAAACAAAAGCTACAAGTAAATGGAAGTTTTCTTTTTAAATTATTTTAAAATTAGATACAAGATATTGTATTCTGGTCCATCCTCTATAGTTTGTACAGTATGCTGGGTTGCAATATTAAACCCCTAGGGTTTACAATACCTGAAAAGTATACTGGAGTAAGTTTAAGACCATCCTTATCCTCGTGATCAGAATATTAAAACATTTATTTTCTTACTCAGCTCATATATGTATAACACCTGTTTCTATATACTTGTGTACTCCTGTTCTCCTGTACTTGTATACACACCTGTTTCTATGTGCTTGTGTATTCCCGTTCTCCTGTTCTCCTGTACATTATAAATACTTGTTTCCATGTACTTGTGTACTCCTGTTCTCCTGTTCTCCTGTACATGCATACATACCTGTTTCAATGTACTTGTGTACTCCTGTTCTTGTAAACACACATGTTTTTATGTACTTTTGTACTTCTATTCTCCTGTACTTGCATACACACCTGTTTCCATATATTAGTGTGCGGCTGTACTCCTGTTTTTGTATACACCTGTATTCATGTACTTGCGTACTCCTGTTCTCGTGTACTTGTTTGTACTCCGGTTCTCCTGTGCTTCTGTATTTCTGAACAGAAGTCAACTACTGTAATTATGTACTCATGTACTCCTGAACTCCTGTACTCAACTACTTTAATTATGTACTTATGTACTCCTGAACTCATGTACTCCTGTACTCATGTACTCCTGAACTTATGTATTTCTGAACTCATGTACTCAAGTACTTCTACAGACATGCGATTCTATAGTTCCTGTTCTCTGGTATTTTTGTTTTTCTGTACTCCTCCGTCCATGCTCTAGCATTTCCATATTTTTTATTTACTACATAAAGTACCTCGGCATGTTTGTATTCAAAGACTCCTATTGTACAGCGATGCTTTACTACTCGCTTGGTTGGAAAAATTGTATCGATCTCCAAGCAAAGCTACATATTACGAGTGTTCCATCATATTCAATCTATTAAACTAAAATCTGAAAAAATGTTGACAGAAAATTGATAAACCCCAAACCAAATATTCATCTCTAAAGTTACAGACTCTGAGCTTCACGCTTGAACCCATAGATAAATAAATAAACATAGATAGCTTATGTACGCAAAATCACCAAGAATTGTACAGTCCGCGAACTCATACTTCTAGGGGTCAAAGTACTTCAATGATAAGCGGGGTGGTTTGGTGTTTTAATGGATTTCATAATAGAGTGTTAAATAACTCCGGGAATGGAACTATTTGAACAACAATATTTTACTGAGCAATATATCATATTAACGAGAACTGAAGAAGGACATGAGAAGGACTAAACTAACTTAAATTTCTCTCTACAGAACTCATGTACACCACAAGTACTCAATGATATAAGAACAGCCAATGTTCACAACCGACCTAGTTAATCTATATAATAGGAATTAATAGGAATATCTTTAAAACATCTCTGTACATTTATATCTTTCAAGATGAAAAATGTCGTCTTATGCGCAATCTATCTTTATCTATGCTTGAACCTTGTAATTTTAGACAAAGTAAACTTGTACATGAACTATTTAGTAATAGTGATGCAGGGATATACAAAAGGATACATGGGGATACAGGGGATACAGAGATATACAATACAAGAAGATACAAGGGAATACATAGGGTGTTTTGAAATTAGGCATTTGATCTATTCCCATTTTACTATATATAATATGTACAATTGCTGCGCGCACGCACGTATGTATGCCTGGATCCTGAGTATAGCTTCAGTAAGGCTTAAACCAACCATGGACGCTGATGTAAACTTACTTTGATTTCTTTCTTAATAGATGACATTCGTGTAAGTAATTATATGAAATCATTATAAAAATTATTCTTATCAATGTTATATTGTTGCTATAATACTTCAATCTATTTCAGTTAAACATCCAATCTCTCTTCAAACAAGTAACACCATATGAATAAAGAATTAAAGAAAACACAGTTTATATAGTGAGAGTAGTTTGAAACCGGTCATTCTAAAGAAATCAATACATAGGGATACAGGGGATACAAGGGTATACAGGGGGATACAGGGGATACAAGGGGATACAGGGGGATACAAGGGTATACAGGGGAATAAAGGGGATACAGAGGATACAAGGGTATATACAGGGGAATAAAGGGGATACAGAGGATGCAAGGGTATACAGAATACAGATGATACAGAGGAAACAAGGGCATACAGGGTGTCTGCAGTGAATACCTGGGTATGCAGTTGGCTACAGTGGATACAAGAGTATACAGAGAATACAGGAGATACAATGGGATACAATCGGATACAAGGGGATACAGGGGGTACAGGGGGTACAATAAGATAGAAGAAAGGAAGAGATATGTGGATGTATTTCTAGTTAAAGAGGGGTTTGTTTGATGGTCTTTTAACTACAACTTTTCTGGGAAATAACAAGATGGTATTGCGCAAACCACATCTCCGCAAATTTAAAACAACAAAAATATTGTTAAAACTTTCTTCATTCTTCTTCTTCAATGTTGATATGGGGAAACTTGAAATATTTTCAGAAAAACTAGAAAAGTACGAATAGAAATGTTTTTATTCTTTTGTAAAATACATATGATGTAACTGTATATTTTATTCAAACTAAACCGTTCGCGCCTAAATTTTATTGCAACTCACATTAAAAAGGAAAGATTTAGGAGAGCCAAAGTATTTTCATTACTCATTTTACTTAAATTTTGAAGTAGAAAAGAAAAACGTTGAATTGGTGGGATCGATACTTTTGTAGGTCCGAACTTTCATTTAAAGTTCTTAAAGGCCGGAATTAATCCCTGACAGCCATGCATTATTTCTTTAAACCAAACCTTTCATTAAGATGATTTCAATTTTATCTTATTAATATATATTTCAAGATTTTCTAGTTGTTTTGTTTCTCTTGAACATTTCTAATCGATGAAACTTAATTAAAAACAAACAATAGTGCAGTAAGAGTATAGATTAGATAGTATACCAGAACAAGAAATCAATGGTGTAGTAAGAGTATAGATTAGATAAGATACCAGAACAAGAAAACAATGGTGTAGTAAGAGTAAAGATTAGATAAGATGCCAGAACAAGAAAACAATGGTGTAGTAAGAGTATAGATGAGATAAGATACCAAAACAAGAAATCAATGGTGCAGTAAGAGTATAGATGAGATAAGATACCAAAACAAGAAAACAATGGTGCAGTAAGAGTATAGATTAGATAAGATGCTGGAACAAGAACATATGGAGCAAAATAGTATAGGGGTTAGACGTGTATGAAATTCATATTTTTGATATGTTGAATGAAGGAAGATTGAGAATATTATCTAACCGTGTGAATATCCAGTTTTCATGTTGTGTGGGAAGCATGCTGCAAACCAGGCGGGGCAAAAAATATCTAGATCAGAGCTTGTAACTTTTGTGTTGGAAGCTCATCATCGCGATTGCTTGATCTCGATATCGACTGTGGGCACTTTAAATCAGAGAATCTATAAAAAACTATACTTTTTCATATCTTCATTTTAGTTATTCCTCCCAGGATCAAAGATCCCTTCAACCCTTAACTTGGTGCGATTACCATGCAGGATATCGAATACAGATAATTTGAAGATAAATGAATAGATGAGATCAAGCATTGATCTCGATCTTCACAATTCCAAAGTTCCCAGCTCTCAGGGAAGATTTCTGTGAACACTGCAGTCTTCACATTCCTTACACTCCTTTCACACAAAAGTAAATCAAGAAAATTTAATATAGATGTACAGGGGTAACCACAAGGGATGAGATTTCAAAGACGATTGCACGAAATTTCTTCTATTTTTGTTTTGTTTTTTGTACTGTCCACGTCAGTTCATTAAAATTATAAATTTTTAAAATAAATTTTATAAATTAAACAGTATACATACAATTTATTAACGAAACAAATATGTACCATACGTTCCTTTCTTCTTCTTTAATACCTTTTCCTCTCTATTCTTTAATAACCTTTCCTCTATCTACTCCATTTCCTCTCTATTCTTTCATAACTTTTCCTCTATCTACTCTTTTTCCTCTCTATTCTTTAATAATTTTTCCTCTTTCTACTCCTTTTCCTCTCTATTCTTCAATAATTTTTCCTCTATCTACTCCATTTCCTCTCTATTCTTTAATAACTTTTCCTCTATCTACTTCTTTTTCTCTCTATTCTTTAATAACTTTTCCTCTATCTACTCCTTTTCCTTTCTATTCTTTAATAACTTTTCCTCTATATATTCCTTTTCCTCTATATTCTTTAATAACTTTTCCTCTATCTACTCCTTTTCCTCTTTATTCTTTAATAACTTCTCCTCTATCTACTCCTTTTCCTTTCTATTCTTTAATAACTTTTCCTCTATCTACTCCTTTTCCTTTCTATTCTTTAATAACTTTTCCTCTATCTACTCCTTTTTCTCTCTATTCTTTAATAACTTTTCCTCTATCTACT